TTCCTTCCTTCCTTCCTTCCTCCCTTCCTTCCTCCCTCCCTCCCTCCCTCCCTCTCTCTTTCTTTTTCTTTCATCAGTGTCTCCCTAGAGCCCCAGCTGGCCAGAACTTGCTATGTAAACCAGGCTGGCCTTGAACTCACAAAGATCCACCTGGCTTTGCCTCCTGAGGCTGGGATTAAAGGTGTGAGACTCTCTTAAACTCTGAGTTATATTTCCAGCATCACATTGAAAACAAACAAAAAAGACAATTATATGGATAACTCACTTTTAAAATATAGGCATTAATTTTTTTTTTTTGGAAACAGGGTTTTCCTGTAGCCCCAGCTGGCCTGGAACTCATATGTAGACCAGGCTGGGATTAAAGGCATGTGCCACCATGCACAGCTACATTGATAGGCCTTTAAAAAAATAAAAATAAGAGAGGGCATGAAGTCTCCTGCAGGGGGAGTTGGGCAGAGGTGGAGATGGAGGAGAAGGTTTGAATATGATCAAAATACATTGTATGCAATTCTCAAAGACACAATAAAAAATATTTTTAAAATGTCCCCTGCCCATACTATCCAAATGAGAGTTACAAATGTTAGAAATAGTATATAGAGTAGAATCCAATCAGAACAACATGGGATACGTAAATCACCAGTGAAGTAAAATCTTTTGCAATATAACACAGAAGAAACACTTAAAAAAATGGTTTGTTTACTACAGAGGCTATCAACCCCACTGTCAGGAAATGATTCCCTTATAACCATGTTAATTACTCTTACCCTGGAGACCTGAGCACAGCGACACAAGGTAACGACATCCAGGAAAGAAAATATCCTAAAAAGAAAACAGAAGGGAACAAACTTTATAATTTGTCTGTCTGTCAGTTGAGACAGGATCTCATTATGTAGTTCAGGCCAGGCGTGAACTCATGATCCTCCTGTCCTAGCTTCTGGAGTGCTGGGATTATAGGTATGCAACCACCATATCCAACTTCTGTTTTTGTCAAATTTTTTTTTTTTTTTTTAGTTTTTATACAAAATAATGGGTTTCATTATGGTGCTGTCCACTGCTCACTGTAGTTCTTCATCACCCTCTCATCTTCCTCCCTCAAACCCCAATAAGTTTTTCTTGATTTTAGGCTATAAATAATGATGTACACACATTATCACACACACAGTATCACAAACACACCCATCACCCAGAGGCAGAAGTTCTAAGTTCTTTCAAACAAACACAAATAAATTGGAAACAATTTACAATGATGTTATTGTCCACATAAAACTGCCTAAAGGGTTAGAGAGATGGCTTAGTGGTTAAGAGCACAAACTGTTCTCCAAGAGGACCCGGGAGTTGGATTACCAGCATTCATTTCCAGAGGCACAAAACTGCCTGTAAATCCAGCTCCAGAGATCCAATGCCTCTGGCATCTGTGGGTACCTGAGCTCATGTGCTCATACCCCCACACAGATATACACCAACAATTAAAAATAATAGAAATAGAGGCTGGAGAGATAGCTCAGTGGTTAAGAGCCCTGGCTGTTCTTGCAGAAGACCCAGGTTCCGACCTCAGCACCCACAGGGTGGTTAACAACAGCCCTTAACTCCAGTTCCAGGGGATCTGACACCATCTTCTGTCCTCTTCCGGCATTTTACAACATGGGTGCACTTGCATACATGCATGCAATCCACGTATACACACACACACACACACACACACACACACACACACACACACAAAAAAAATTCTTAAAAAAAAAAGTAGTTGAGGGGCTGGAGAGATGGCTCAGCAGTTAAGAGCACTGACTGCTCTTGCAGAAGACCTGGGTTCAATTCCCAGCACCCACATGGCGGCTACGAACCGTCCTTAACTCCAGGTCCAGGGGAATCCGATACCCTCTTCTGATCTCCAAGGCATTGCATCACATGGGTGCACTCACATACATGCAGGCAATACACTCATACACATAAAATAAAAATAATTTAAAAAAAAGTGGTTGAGGGCCAGTTCCCATACTAATTATATTTAATTGTACAATTCAATTATTTAGCTAGCAACCGTTACTACCATTCATCTCTTAAAATTCTATCTTCCCAAACTGGAACCTAATATTGAAACAATAACTCATTATCTTTCTCATACAGCCCTTGGCAACAACCATTCTATACTTTGGGTAAATGACTATTCTTGGTACTTAATAGACCAAACACCAAAAAAATACCGTATTTTGTACAACCACTGATGGATACTTGGGTTGATATCACCATTTGTCTATTGTGAATTATGTTCCTATGACCCTGAGCATACAGATACCTGTTTGACTCCCCATTTTCAAGTATATATCTCAAAGTAGATTTGTTGACTCACTGGATAATTCTTTTAAATTTTTTACAGAACTATTATACTGTTTTATACAGCAGTTGTGCCATTTTAAACTCCTACCACTATTGCACAAATGTTCTAATTTTCCTATCTTTGTAAACACTTATAATTCTTTTTTTTGGTCTTTTTGAGACAGGGTCTCCCTATAGCTCTAGTTGGCCTAGAACTCACTATTTAGACCAGGCTGGCCTGGAATTCACAGAGATCCGCCTGCCTCTGCCTCCCCAGTGCTGAGATTAAAGGCAAGTGCCACCCTGCCTGGCTATTGTTTTAACAGTTATACTAATGACTTGAAAAAACTGGTATTGCCGGGCGTGGTGGCACATGCCTTTAATTCCAGCACTGGGGGGGGGGGGCAGAGGCAGGCCGATCTCTGTCAGTTCAAGGCCAGCCTGGTCTACATAGTGAGTTCCAGGACAGCTAGGGAAACAGAGAGACCCTGTCTCAAAAAGACACACACAAAAAAAAGGTGTCATAATTAAGAAATTATTGCTGGGTCCAAAGTCAAGAAGCTTTCCCCTTATGCTTTATTCTAAAAATTTTAACTCTTGCGCTTAGGTTTTTTCATTTATTTTAGGTTTTTCATTTATTTTTATTTTATGTGTGTATTTTGCCTGAGTGTCTACTGTATACCCATGTCCTGCACTGCAGGTGGAGGCGAGAAGGTGTTGGGCCAGGAGTGGTGGCACACACTTTTAACCTCAGCACTCAGAAAGCAGATGCAGAAGCAGTGGCAGGTAGATCTCTGAAACTGAGACTAGCCTGATCTACATAGGCAATTCTAGGCCAGGTATGGCTACAAGGACACCCTGTCTCAAAAACTAAATCAAACCAAAACAGAAGGGGGACTTGGATCCCCTGGAACTGGAGTTAAAAATGGTTGTTAGCCACCATGTGGATTCTGGGACCCAAACTCCGGTCCTCTGTAACAACCAGTGCTCTTAACTGTTGAGCCATCTCTCCAGACTGTTATTTATTTTTCATTTATTTTGAGGTGGTTTTTGGATACAGTGTAAGGCAAGGGTTTAACTTCGTTGTGTGCATATGTGATATGTGATGGGATCAAACATGGGGCTTTAAGCATGCCATTGAATTATATTCTCCAGTTTCACTCCATTCTTTTCATGTGGATACTGTTTTCTCAGCACCACTTGTGTTCCCCATTAAATGGTCTTGGCACCTTGTCAGAAACCACTGGGGGAGATTTTATTTATTTATTTATTTATATATATATATATATATATATATATATATAGAGAGAGAGAGAGAGAGGGAGAGAGAGAGAGAAATGTTTCTGAGCTCTCTATTCCATTGGACTTTATATCTTCCTCCAGTATCATGATTTTAAATATATTTAGTTTTGAAGTAAAAGTTGCTTTCTTGTTCTCTCTCTCATACTGTTTCTTTTTGGTCTTTTTGAGACAGGGTCTCCCTGTAGCCCCAGCTGGCCTTGAACTCACAGAGATTCGCCTGCCTCTGCCTCCTCAGTACTAGGATTAAAGGCCTGCGCCACCATACCCAGCTTAGTGGGTTTTTTTTTTTTGTAGTCCTGGCTGACCTAGAACTCACTATGTAGACTGAGCTGGCCTCCATCTCTCAGAGATCTGCCTCCTTCCCTAATGCTGGGATTAAAGGCATATGCCACCAAGCCAGGCTGTCTTTTTTTTCTCTTTTTAATATTTTATTTATTATTATTATTATTTTTTTTTGGTCTTTTTGAGACAGGGTCTCCCTGTAGCCCCAGCTGTCCTGGAACTCACTATGTAGACCAGGCTGGCCTTGAACTCACAAAGATCCGCCTGCCTCTGCCTCCCAAGTGCTGGGATTAAAGGCGTGCACCACCAAGCCGGGCTTTTATTTATTATTTTTATTTTATGCGTATGAGTATATTGCCTGCATGCATGTGAGTGCACCCGTGTCGTGCAAAGCCACAGAGGACAGAAGAGGGCTTTGGATTCCCCTGGAACTGGAGTTAAGGCGGTTCATAGCTACCATGTGGGTGCTGGGAATCGAACCCGAGTCCTCTGCAAGAGCAGTCAGTGCTCTTAACCGCTGAGCCATCTCTCCAGCCTGTTTTTTTTTTTTTCTTTCTAAGATAGGGTTTCACTAGATAGCCAGAGCAACCCATAACTTCTGATCTTTCTGCCTCAGCTTCCAGTATGCTGGGATTACCTGTGTATACTATGATATCTAACTGTAGAAGGTGCTTTCAGTGATTTAAACAGTTGCATGTCAAAAAAAAAAAAAAAAAAGGAAAAAGAAAAACAGAGAGTTGTTATAAGAAACTCCCTTATACCTTTTTACATATTCAGTACTTTGTTTCCACCCAATGTGAGGGATTGAACCTAGGCTCTCTTGCTTGCACTGCTCCTGTGCTATATCCTCAGCCCTCTTTTTACTTTTGATTTTGAGACAGGGTCTCAGGTTGACTTTGAACTCACTCTGTAGCCCCAGCAGGCCTTGAAACTGTGATCTTCCTGCCTCAGCCGTCTAAGTAACTAAGACTAAGCCTGGTACTACCAGGCTCATCTTAGATTTCTGATATATTTTGATTTGCTCCAACTATATAGAAAGGCCCATATAAGAGACTGATTGAAGCTGGTAAGTGAGCTGGAAACAGGAACAACATGGTGAGTAAACATAACTGATCTGTGTCTTACAATGTCAGCAAAACACAAGTAAGGGGCAAGAAAATTCCTGAACAAAAGCCCAGTGAACAATTATGGTGAGATAACAAAATGAAAACAGGTGTCTCTAGGGCCTAGGAGACACCTCAGGGGTAAAGAGATTGCCTAGCATGCTCAAGGCCTCAAGTATGATCTCCAGAAACACATACATACATCCTCCCCAAAAGGAGGATGATGAGCAGCAGAAGCAAAGCATAATGGGCACATGTCTGTAATCCTAGCACTTGGGAAGAGGAAAATGAAGGCAGGAAGTCCAGGAGTTCAAGGTCATCTCAGCTACATAGGCAGTTTGGCCAACAATAAGATGCTAGCTGAAAAAAAAGCCAGGTGTCTAAAGGGCTGGAGGATTGGGTTCAATTCCCAGCACCCACTTGGCAGCTCTATCTCCCTCTGTCTTATACATACAGGGAATCCAAACACTGGTACAAATAAAAATCTAAAAATAAAAAAAAAAAACTGCAAACAAAAACAGGTGGCTAGGCAATCCAGAATAATGTCTACTTCATGGTCTAGGACTAGAGATAAATTAAAACTATGTAAGATATTTGAGAAATTTTCAGGAAGTTCAGTCTAGGGGTCTTAGGTGTATAGAATTTTGAGGTTGGATTTACAGGGTTTTTTTTTTTTTTTTTTACGGGTTTTTTTGTTCGCTGTGGGTTTTTTTTTTTTTTGTCTTTTTGAGACAGGGTCTCCCTGTAGCTCCAGCTGTCCTGGATTCACTATGGAGACCAGGCTGGCCTTGAACTCACAGAGATCTGCCTGCCTCT